AGACCAGCTGTTCTGCCATATTTTTGCATTGCATTTGAATTGTTCAGTTATTCCAGAAGTTAAATCAAATTATGTCTTCCGAGATAAATTTGCTTGCTGCATCTCTATTAGTTATGCTCCGTGGTAGTCTTTCCCAACCTCAGCAACTTCTAAGATATACAGACTTCAATTCCCAGAATTCCCCAGCCAGCATGCAGGCTGAGGAATTCTGCAAGTTGAAGTGCACAAGTTTTAAAGTTGCCAAATTTGGAAACCTCTGAAAGCATGCAAATGCAAGTAAATAAATAGTTACCACTTTGGTGGGGAGGTAACAGCACTCCATGATGTCATGCTGGCCATGTGACCACGGAAATGTCTTCAGACAGCGCTAGCTCAATGGCCTTGAAATAGAAATGAGCAGCACCCCCTAGAGCTGGCAATGTTTAGTTGGATTCCTTTTTTATAATCTCTACTGATTGTGCCTTATTCAACAAAGTACTCTTCTACCAATTCTAATATGCTAAATTTAGAATGTGTATTCCGCCACACCTCTGTCCCATTTCTATGTTCATATTTTATTTATTCTACGGTACTGAATTGCTAGATTTTCAGGGTTACAATAAGCCAGGAGGAGCTGTGGAGATTTTTGGAAAAGCAACACGTTTTTCATTTATTTTTGGAATGTCGCACTGGGAAAGGAAGACTAAAAATGCATTTCCCAAATTCCCTGAAATTATCACTTTGTATATTACTTTTTTAGCCTGAATAATTTTAAGCGTATTGTAAAAAAACATTAAAAATATTAGTGTAACTATGGTAAATATGTGTATTACATGAATGCACTGATCATTTCTGATTTCATCCTTTTCCATGCGTATCCATTTTTTTAAAAATAAAAAGATTTTTGGTCTTAAAATGGCCATCTTGTCATTTTTCCACTTCAGTTCGCAAATCAGTTTTTTTATGTTCATTACATCTTTAAATCAGTTGTTAGAAAAATTGGTGGGTTGTCTCTGCGATCTTCCAATTCTTGACCTTTAAAGCTCTAGTGCAATAATAAAAGAAATGTTGTTGAGCAAAACATAATCAGCAGAAAATGCTTGGAAAAGCAGAGAATATGAAAAAGGAAATTGATGGAGATTTTTGCAAATTAAAGGGACCACCATAGTTCATAAAGTACATGTTAGAAGCAATGCATCAGCAGCTATCTATTTTAAAATGTAAGTTAAGCTGTGAAAATAGAACACCTGTTGATTTTCCTTTCAATGCAGAGCATAATTTATGTTTCTTGTGACTTGAACATTGAATGCAAATGAAGGAAAATAACATTGCCTACATTATTTTCACCTGTTTGCTGTTTGAAGAACAATCATGCTATGCTATTTATTTAGAGCTGAATGCAGGAGAGTGTTTTTATGTTTTCTTAGACCCTCCTGGTGTTTCAACTTAAAATTGTTGATTATTTTTGGAACAATCCTGGTTCATTTCTTAAGAATTGTGTAGGAACAGGAGTTGACAAGACGGGGGGGGGGGGTCAAATCTTGGGATTGAACAAGTCTAAAAGAACTGGAATTCATATTACAGGTAATCCTCAGTTTACAACAGTTCATTTAGTGACTGCCTTATGATCATTTTTCACACTTATGACTTTAGCAGAATCCCCATGGTCACATGATTTACATGTCAGACCGAGCGCTTTTAACATCCAGCATCAGAGCCTACCTTCGGGCAATTAGGACGACCAAAAGAACACACATTGCCTCTCTGATTGCTTCCGCTGAGTCGCGCCCAGCCGCCTTGTTCAGGATAACCCATTCCCTCCTAAATAGGAGGGATACGAGTGATCCTTTGCAAGGCAGAGCTGAGGATTATGTCCAATTCCTCGCAGATAAAGTTGCTCGGCTTCGGACGGTCCTGGACTGAAAATTGCGCAGAAGCAGCTGAGGCACCAGGGGAGAATCTGGCAGGACATCACTGGATTGATTTTCAAGCTGTTACCCCTGAGGATGTGGACAAGGCCATGGGAGCCGCAAGTGCCTCCACATGCGTACTGGACCCGTGCCCCTCCTGGCTGGTTGCTAACAGCAGGGAGGTGACACGGGGCTGGATCCAGGCAGTTGTTACCGTCTCCCTTCGGGAGGGGTTCTTTCCCCCCGCTCTAAAGGCGGTTGTGGTGAGACCCCTTCTGAAGAAGCCATCTCTGGATCCAGCCGTTTTAAACAACTACCGTCCAGTCTCCAACCTCCCCTTTGTGGGGAAGGTTGTTGAGAAGGTGGTAGCCTATCAGCTCCGCCGGTCCTTGGAG